TGTGACATATTATCCTGCTCCTGGATCTGTATTTTGCTGCTTTGTTTTAAAGGCAGGTTTCTTAGAACTCCAGCTGACTCTCAGTCACGGTAAAGCAGGACTTACCATTTATAATGAGGGAAATGCATTTGCTCTTGGATGTTCAATATCAAATTAAGAAAAAGAATTAGTGCAAAGTAAGGTAGAAGTTATATTCTTCATAGGATCTTGTATGCTTCAAAACATAATTATGAAGAGAAAAATTAATGCTCAACTTGATTCTTCCAATTTAATCTGTTTTTTAAAAACTTCAAACTTACAGAAAAGTTGCAAGATTAGTACCAAGAACTTATGTATATTCTTTACCAAGATTCACCAATTAGTAACATTTTACCATGTGAACTTTATCATTTCTCTCTTTCTCTATTTTCTCAACCATTTGAGAGTAGTTTGCATACCACAGGACCATTAATAATTAAATGTGTACATTTCCTAAGAACAAGGATATTCTCTTACACAACCACATTACAGTAATCACATTCAAGACATTTTAACACTGATATGCTACTATCAATCACCTACAGCACAAATTCCAATTTTGTTGGTTATCTGAATAAATGTCCTTTATCGTAATTCCCCTCCTTAGAGAGCATTTAATTTTTTGTCACTTTAATCTTTTCTAATCTGGAACAGTTCCTTGGCCTTTGTCTTTCATGACACTGTTATTTCTCAAAAATAATAGCTAGTAACTTTATAGAATTTCCCTCAATCTGGGTTTGCGTGATATTTCCACATGATTAGATTCATGTTCTACATTTTGGGCTGAAATAGAACAAAACAGATATTGTATTCCTCTCAGCACATGATTTTTGCTTGCCCCTTTTTGATGATGTTAATTTTGGTTCAAGTGAAAAATAGAAAATGTCTGTGACCCTTGATTTTAAGTGACAAATAATATCTGCTAATAAATCTTTTGGATTCATTTTGGATTAAAAAATGCAAGGTATCAAAGACAAAAATACAATACTACTTATTTTACAGAAGCAGAATATTTTAATTCTGGTGTTTATGTGTTTCATAGTGCTAAGTATGCCCAAGTGTGGAAACATGAAATAGATCAAGCTGAATTTGGTTCTTTGCTATGGAATGCAAATGCTCATTTACTGATGACCTGAAACAAAAACAAATTAACACAGAAGCTCCTTACTATTATTCATTGTAATAAATAGTGCTTTGCAGAAGTGTATCAAAATGTTCTGGCTTTTAGGGGCCTTATAGGGACGACTGGCAAAATTCGAATATACACTGAACATGGATTATCAATATCAGTTTTCTTTTTCTTTTTTAAGATTTTATTGGGGCATTGGGGAAGGGAAACAGTGTTGGGGAATTGGAGATGGGGAACAGCCAAGTTGTTGTCCCTCAGTCTTAGCTGTGGAGGGTGCAGCTAGCTCAGCTCCAAGTCCAGTCGCCATCCAGCTCAGCGGCCACTCAGCTTGGGCGCAGCTCACTGGCCCATGTGGGAATCAAACCGGTGACCCTGTTGCCCAAAGCTCGTGCTCTAACCAACTGAGCCACTCGGCCGGCCCCCAATATCAGTTTTCTTGATTTTAATAATTGTGTCGTGGTTGTGTAAGAGAATGTCTTTGATCTAAGGTTACGCACACTAACATATTTAGGAGTGAAGAAGTGTGACATGCACACATGTGACAAAAAGTTAATAACTGATGACTGGATGGAGGGTAAACAAATTCTTTTTATTGTTCTTACATCTTTTCAGTAAGTAAATTCAGTAAGTAAAATATTTAAAAAACTATTGGTCTACATTTTCTTAAGATGGACTCAGATAAAACTTCTATTTACTTTTTTAAATGTTCCTAAGATTATAACTTATAAAAGTGGTTTATATTCTTTTCTTTCTGCTCCCTCCTCCCCACTCCCATATTCTTCAAATCATTTAATTTCTCTATTATCTTATGTCTAAGAAAGTTGAAAACACAGAATTTATGAACAAAATCGTAGTTTCTGTTTCACAGCTCTGAAATCCACGTTGTCTTACAATTCTGAAGCCCTTCAAGAACTTAAAATGTGTAAGCCGTGAACAAGCTCTCATTAGTTCCCTACTCTCAATGCATAAGCTACAGAATAATACAGGATAAACTAAAACAATAAATAAATCAAAACCACACATTTCTTCATGCTAGCCCGCTTTGGGTTTCTGGTGCTATACAGAACGGTAACGGACTTTGCAGCACCATCCTCAACAGTTTCTTTGACAAACATTGCCTACCTCACAGCAGCAGCTGGTTAGTGATGAGGGCAATTTCAAACTATAGTATTTGTTATGTATGCTGAAAAGTCCTCAGCCTAGGTTCTTCCTCATTTCTCTGAACTATAGAAAAATCTAAAACACAAAATAGTTTCACAGTCTCTCTGCCATTCCTCAACTAGGATGTCTTGATTCCAATTATTATTCTAAGTAGAGAACAATTAATTCTTGATTCAGATTGATAGCCTCTGGTATAGCCATGTACTATTTCAGAACATAGCAAGAATGGTGTGGTAAGAATTTAAAAAATATATAGCTACAGATGTATAGATAGATATCAGAGAATTAAAGCTCCTTAGCCAAGAAGTGTGTCCCTGTATAATTTCAAATTTGAGTCCAAGAGTTGAATCTTGTACAAGTATGATCTCTCTTGCAAATTGGTACAGCCACTCACTATGGAAAAGTTTGGAGGTTCCTCAAAAAATTAAACACACAACTACCTAATGACCCAGCTGTTCTACTTCTGGGTATTTATCTGAAGAAATCCAAAACACTAATTCAAAAAGATATATGCATCCCTATGTTCACTGCAGTGCTCTTTACAATAACCAAGATATGGAAGCAACCTAAGTGTCCATCAATAGACGATTGGATAAAGAAGATGTGGTACATTTATACAATGGAATGTTAGGCAGCAATAATAAAAAAAAAAAAATGAAACCTTACCATTTGCAACAACATGGATGGACCTAACGGGTATTATGCTAAGTGAAATAAGCCAGAGAAAGACAAATACCATATAATTTCACCTATATGTTGAATCTAAAGAACAAAAAGCAAAACAAACAAAACAGAAACAGACTCATAGATACAGCGAACAAACTGATGGTTGCCAGATGGGAGGGGGTTTGGGGGGCCTGGGTGAGAAAGGTGAAGGGGTTAAGAACTACAAATTGGTAGTTATAAAATAGTCACAGGGATGTAAAGTACAGTATAGGGAATATAGTCAATAATACTGTAATAACTATGTATGGTATCAGGGAAACTAGACTAATATGGGGGATCACTTTGTAAATTATGTAAGTGTCTAATCACTGTGACGTACACCTGAAACTAATATAAAATAATATTGAATGCCAACTGTTAATTAAAGAAAAAAAAAAGGAGGGGCTGGCCGAGTGGCGCGTTAAGAGTTGGCTTGGGACGCCAGCTCTGAGCAGCAGGGCCCCGGTTCAGNGGAACAGTGTGTTTTTCCAGGACCCATCAGCTCCAAGTCAAGTAGTTGTTTCAATCTAGTTGTGGAGGGTGCAGCTCAGTGGCCCATGTGGGAATCAAACTGGCAACCTTGGTGCCATGAGCCTGCATCCTAACCACCCGAGCTAACTGGCCGCCCGGGACCTATTATTTCATGGTTTTTACTTAATCTGGCAAATAACTGCATAATCTATGTAACAGGAAATATTTTGAAATTTTTACTCATTTGTGAGATGTGTGTCTATAATTTTAAGTCCAAAGGAAAGTCTGAGGTGAGTTTTAAAGCAAGAATGACTTTAGAGGGCCTTAAACCATGCCACCATGATTTGGACACACTGATCCTAATGCCTCACTTTTTTCTTTTTTTTAACTTATTGCATTTATTAGATTTTTGGCCCCTTAATCCCAGACATATGTATAAGTGGATCAGTAGAAGGTAAAGTATTAGGTAACTAAGTTTATTAGAAACTCAAAAGAATACAATTTCCAAATACGTTTTACAATACTTGAACATTTTCTCAGGTTGGTCAGAGCTTACATTTGAAATCTGAGCTTTAAATTTCAATTCTGTGACTGATGGGCTGACCACACTCCTGGAAAGTTTCAGCCTGGCATGACCACTACTTCACACTTGGTTGCAAGAGACAGCATCTAGATCCCTGAGCAGTGGTTTGGACTTTCTAGGACTGGTCTCCTCCTTAAATATTTGGGGACAAGGCACAGGGTTTCCTAAGCTTGCTTCCTTCCTTCTCCAGCACTTCACTGGCTAACGATCTGTTGTGCTCGACCTCTATGGAGGATATGAAAATCCTATCACCCGAGGTCCATGTCCTACTTATGCCCCATCTTTTCTAAAAATGGAAAAAGCTGGGAAGGAAAAGAAAAGCACCACTATATAGCTGGCTAACATTGTAACTAGCTGTCTTCCCCGCACTACTACTACCGTGCCACCTGATATACAGCCAGAGTAGAAGAAACGGCACATCCTCTACATGCTTTCCACTTTCAGCCACTTCGCTCAGGGTTTTCAATCTACAATAAAGCAGATTTGAAAAATCTGACATAACATTTCACTGGTGGACTTCTACCCACAAATTAACAACGGCAAAAGGATCCCCTCGATAAAATTACAAGCTGTGGAAGATTTGCAATAGTAAAAGTCAAACCCTGATACAGTATTAAACGTATCTTTTTACATATAAAAATAACACACAGTAGGATATTTTATTCAATAAGATACAATCTTTAAGATCGAGAGAGAATATACAAAACTATTCTATGTAGTCTGATGTATTTTACTGTAGAGTAGGAATAAATATATCTAGAACAGAAAGTGCAAGGTCTGTCCTTAGAGAAATCACCAGTTACTTAGGGGTTTAAAGCCAAGTGTTCTGCAGGTACCAGGTAGAAGGGAACTACTTGTTGCATTTAAAACGATGTGGTCATTAAAAATGAAGGGCTTAAATCGATAAACAATAACAAAAACACACAAACCAAATGAAAATGTACTAAAATTTAATCATCCATAAAAGCTGTAATTTAATCTGACAGTAAAACACAAGAAGCAATATTAGAGTCGGTTTAGTATATTATATATTTTAGCTTTGAAAGCCATAGAAATCAGTTATCCCAGTTTTTGTTTCCTATAAAAGACCCATTTTTCCAAAGCATTATGCACAAACGATTTTAATTAGAATATAATGACAGAATGATATTTCATAATTTTTTAAATATAAAATGAAGTCAATGACTCAAAAAAGTTATCTGCTGCAATGAGTTTGAGGGGAAATTTCATAATCTATATCATTACAGATATAAAGTATAATGGTTCAACTTTTTAGTGCTTGACAGGGAGGAATCATGATAAAAAGGTCAATATGAAATCATTTGATTATAGTAGCAATATCTAACATTTGAAATGCATCCATGCTCTTTTGTATAATCATATTAGAGTCAAGTATATTTATTTTCACATCTGTTATAACTGCTATTGCAAAAGAGAAATACTATTGTCTTACTTTCCAAGAGATATACACAGAGCAATTTTTTTCTCCAGGGAAACTTGTGCAAACCAATATAAGATCTAAATTCTTCACATAATATATAAAACAGGAGAAGCCTCTTCAGATTTGTTTTTTGAAGTCTGGAATGCTGGCACTTTCCAATTAGGCAACAGTTCTTCATTCCTGTAATCTGGAACATTGAATAGATACAGATATTATCATATATATCTCTTGCTGCCAGAAGACGACACTAAACAAGCAGGTTATCTAATAATACAAAAAGAAACAATGATTTTGGCTCACTGTTACTAGAGAATTGAGTTATACTAAACAGCGCCAGTAATAGGGCTATTTTAAACTCCCTCTAAAAATGTTCAAAAAATAGTTTTATTATGCTTAGTGTTTCATAACATATCTGACAGGCCTGTCTCTAAAGAGGAAAACAGTGATTATTTCATTTCTATCCCATTATCACCTTATTTGTAAAGTTGCTTTCCACTAAGGAAATGGCACCTGCCTGCATAAACTTTCCATGGGAAATTCTTTGCTCAACCATTTTATGATTGTATATATTAGGATTACCACTTCTAACACAGGTCAGGACAAGAAGAGATGATACAAAAAGAGCTAAGCCCCATATTCAAGGGCAGAAGACTCAAAGTTAGTCTTACTATTCAGCAGAAAAGAATTAGGTTAAAGGCAGAATTTCCTGACAATGAATTTCTCTCCTAGGTCTTTAAAAGTGGGACATATTAGAAAGAGATTAACATGTTTCAATACAATTTTGCCTGAAGACTAAGGCTAGGATGCTGCCCTCACAGTTCACATGCTCTTACTAAAAATGTTTGTAACTGCTGTTTCAATTTCCCCCTAATCTCAGTACTTTCCAACAGGATCAACACGATGCTTCAAGTCTGTAATCACAACAAAATGCTCTGCATGCAAAGTATTCTGACTGCTAAGTGACCTATTATCAAACATTCAGAGAGATCGCAGGGGACTTACATTAAATAGACTGCAAGCTGAATTACATATCAGAGTCTAAAAATTTCTGCAACCAGGATGAAACTGTTATTTCTAGATCTAGGCCAAGACCTTGCTCCTCTAAGATCAAACTCACAATGAACTGTAGGGTGTGTAAGAGTGAATTTTCATAATAGGCCAGGAGATGGCACCTCTTCCTTTCAACATAAGCTTAATGGACATTTTCTGAGGACTAGAAATTAAACAGCTAAGGTGATGGTATCAACAAGCCAGCCAGTCAACTATAAGAGAGATACAGGAACTGGGGCCCTCATTTTCCCTACCTTTGTATCCTTAACCTAAACAAACACAAACACCAGCAATAAGAATCACTTTCAGGGAGCTGATGATTTATAGTTATTAAATCAAGATTTCACTAAAAGCCGAAAGCAGCCATTTGGCCAGGAGCTGTCTTTCCTGAATCCAATTCCCAGAGGCAGTCCCAAGCCCTTTCCCCTTTCTGCCCATTTCCCCTCTAAGGCAGCACAGCTCCCTTAAGAAGGGAGTACAGCTACTCAGTGTTTCCCTTGAGAAAGTCACTCATCTGAGGAAGCACATGCTAGTTAATCTGGTGTTCTGGAAGAGGTAATCGACTAAATGGGCCCAAGAGACTCACAAGAGACCACAACCAATTCTCATGTGGGAACAGCTGACTTTCCTCTCCTGGGACAGACCAAGTTTACAAATTACATCTTTAAGTCCACTGCATAAAAATATTCTTTTATGATACTATTTATACAGTTGATGAAGATAAGTAGGAACTGTTCAGAGGATTAAATATATAATTAAAAAACAAACAAATGGTCCCATAGGACCTGGTTTCTCACTTGATAGGCAGCTTCCATGCTGCCACTAATTTCTTTCCACCGGGTTCATGTAATGAAAACTTAAGCGGTACTTTAAGTCAGCTATACTTAGAAGCCCCCAGACAAAACACTGAAAGAAGTCAATCCATATCTGAGAGGAAATGACCACCAAACTGCACTGACCACCATACACCCAGTGGAGTGGCTCAAGTTAAAAAGACCAAATTTGAGCAGGACGTGGAACTCACACACAGACTGCTGGGAGGTGTGTGAACTGGTACAACCACTCTGGAAAACTTTTGAGCAGATTCTACTAACGCTGTCCATATATATATAGTGTGCAATCTGGTCATCCGTTCCTAGACACACACCAATCAGAAATGCATGCACACGTGCAGGAAGATGTGTATAAGAATGTGCCCGGCAGAGCTACCCACACTAGTTCCCGGAAAGAACCCAAACGTAAATCAACAGCAGAACATGTAAGTAAGTATATACGGTATATTGCTAGTATGGTCATACAATAAAATAAACTACTGCCATACACAGTAAGGATAATTCTCAAAAACACACATTTTTTAGTAAAAGAAGACAGCCATAAAATAATATATTACATGTTTTTGTTTATATTAAGTTCAAAGAGAGGCAATACTAATCCATGTTGCTAGGAATCAGGGCAGGGGTTCCATTTGGGGAGGAACAACTACTATCGATATCTGAGGTGTGATCCAAAACTACAGTGAATCCTGCTGCCGAGCGCCATCCAAAGAAAGGCAGGGGGATCTTCAGTCCAGGAAGCAGCGCCCCGAACCTTGGTAACAGTGTGTGACAAGTTTCAACCTGTTCAGTGCAGTCAGTGGTGTGAGAGCTACGGTTGAAAGATGGTGTGTTTTAAAGTGTGCTGTAAATCATGGATCATGAACAACGCATTAACATGAAATGGGCAAACGGTTTCATCCTCCATCATGACAATGCTCTGTGTCACAAATTGCTTCTGGTGCGGCAATTTCTGTCAAGTAAAAAGATTACAGTGTGTCCTCATCCACCTTATTCACCGGATGTGGCACAGTGCGACTTCTGGCTCTTCCCCAAAGTCAAAATGATCATGAAAAGTAAATATTTTGAATCGATTGCAGACATCGAGGCAGCCACAACAGTGCAACTAAAGACACCCACAAAAGGACTTCCAGAACCGCTTCAGAAAGTGGCAAGAACGATGGGATAAGTGTGTTTGAAACAAAGGGGAGTATTTTGAGGGGGCTTAATGGCAATGTGTCTTTTACTGTAATACATTTTTATTCAAACATTCACCGTATTTTTTTATCACACCTCGTATACTGGTGTGTTCACTTTAAAATAATTCATCATTAAAGGTACACTTAAAGCCTTTTGTTTCAGATGAACCACTGCTCCTCTTCAATTCGACATGAATTTGGGAGTGACCTTGGAGGGCATTCTATTCATTCAACCGCTAGTTCTGAATACCCATTCTGTACCAGGACCTGGACACACAGTGGTGAGCAAAACAGACATGGTCCTTGCCTCAGGCAGCTTAGAATCTCCTGAGGGGAGACAGAGCTTACCCAACAGACGAACATATCTATAGGTTATACACCACCTTCCCAAGTTACAGAGGCCTGGAAATACCCTACCAGGTGAAATGGGAAGTGGTTAAGGTTGGGGAAAGCCCAAAACAAAGTAAGGGGACAAGGCAGGCATGTGTTCCGCTTTGAGCATCTTACCTGGCTCAGAGCTGCTGCTACTGCAGGTCTAAAGCAGCAGACATGACTTCTTTTTAGGCTTCTTCTTTTCCACTGGTGTTTTTCTATTTATCTGCCTGACCAAGTCATAAAATATCTAAATAAAAACAAACAAAAAAGGTACTTATTCAACCAATATTTGAGACCACGTTCCATAAAACATTCTTGGTTCTGTGACATATTATCCTGCTCCTGGATCTGTATTTTGCTGCTTTGTTTTAAAGGCAGGTTTCTTAGAACTCCAGCTGACTCTCAGTCACAGTAAAGCAGGACTTACCATTTATAATGAGGGAAATGCATTTGCTCTTGGATGTTCAATATCAAATTAAGAAAAAGAATTAGTGCAAAGTAAGGTAGAAGTTATATTCTTCATAGGATCTTGTATGCTTCAAAACATAATTATGAAGAGAAAAATTAATGCTCAACTTGATTCTTCCAATTTAATCTGTTTTTTAAAAACTTCAAACTTACAGAAAAGTTGCAAGATTAGTACCAAGAACTTATGTATATTCTTTACCAAGATTCACCAATTAGTAACATTTTACCATGTGAACTTTATCATTTCTCTCTTTCTCTATTTTCTCAACCATTTGAGAGTAGTTTGCATACCACAGGACCATTAATAATTAAATGTGTACATTTCCTAAGAACAAGGATATTCTCTTACACAACCACATTACAGTAATCACATTCAAGACATTTTAACACTGATATGCTACTATCAATCACCTACAGCACAAATTCCAATTTTGTTGGTTATCTGAATAAATGTCCTTTATCGTAATTCCCCTCCTTAGAGAGCATTTAATTTTTTGTCACTTTAATCTTTTCTAATCTGGAACAGTTCCTTGGCCTTTGTCTTTCATGACACTGTTATTTCTCAAAAATAATAGCTAGTAACTTTATAGAATTTCCCTCAATCTGGGTTTGCGTGATATTTCCACATGATTAGATTCATGTTCTACATTTTGGGCTGAAATAGAACAAAACAGATATTGTATTCCTCTCAGCACATGATTTTTGCTTGCCCCTTTTTGATGATGTTAATTTTGGTTCAAGTGAAAAATAGAAAATGTCTGTGACCCTTGATTTTAAGTGACAAATAATATCTGCTAATAAATCTTTTGGATTCATTTTGGATTAAAAAATGCAAGGTATCAAAGACAAAAATACAATACTACTTATTTTATAGAAGCAGAATATTTTAATTCTGGTGTTTATGTGTTTCATAGTGCTAAGTATGCCCAAGTGTGGAAACATGAAATAGATCAAGCTGAATTTGGTTCTTTGCTATGGAATGCAAATGCTCATTTACTGATGACCTGAAACAAAAACAAATTAACACAGAAGCTCCTTACTATTATTCATTGTAATAAATAGTGCTTTGCAGAAGTGTATCAAAATGTTCTGGCTTTTAGGGGCCTTATAGGGACGACTGGCAAAATTCGAATATACACTGAACATGGATTATCAATATCAGTTTTCTTTTTCTTTTTTAAGATTTTATTGGGGCATTGGGGAAGGGAAACAGTGTTGGGGAA